ATTCGATGACCATATATGGTCATAGAACTCATTAAATATGCATATCCATAATATCTAGATCACTTTTAAAGATATAGACATGTACCCAAATCTATATTGAAGACATTAGACAAGAGAATTGACCAACACATTCGATGACCATATATGGTCATAGAACTCATTAAATATGCATGTCTCTAATATCTCAGCCACTATTGCAAACACAAACATGGAATCAATGTTATATTGAAGACATTGGACAAAATGATTGACCATCACATTCGATGACCATATATGGTTATAGAACTCATTAAATATGCATATCCATAATATCTCGAGCACTTTTAAAGTTAGAGACATGTACCCAAACCTATACTGGAGGCATTGGACAAAAAAATTTATCAACATTTTAAATGACCATATATGGTCATATAACTCATTAAATGTGCAAGTCTCTAATATCTTAGACACTGTTGCAAGTACGAACATTGAACCAATGCTATATTGAAGACATTGGAGAAGAGAATTGACAAACATACCCTATGACTATATATGGTCATGGAACTCATTAAAGATGCATGGCTATAATATCTCGGACACTATAACATATACAAACATGGAACCAACGTTAATTTTCAGGGCTATTGCAAACAGTCATACATGGCCATGCATTGCATGTGACTTCGCCATGTGCCATGGTCTTGAAAACCGGTGATTGCTGCTATGCAGCTATATTTGTTTTTTGTTTTTATACATGAATATTGTTTGCTTTTATTTTTACGTTTATTATATATCCTATTTCGGTCACCTTGACGAGACCTACATCGAAGTTTATTCAGATTGGTGTTCTGTTAATACAATGTTGTGAATTTTCTGGTTAAAAATGAAGGAGTACTTTCAATTAAATCATCAGTTGGTCGACTTCACTGAAACGTATTTTAGTGGAAGATAAGGGGATGTCCATTACTTATCATTCGAATTCAGGGCCAATCACAGGCACCATGAATATTTGAAAATTGAGTTCAATTGCAAAGATAGGGTTCAAATTCGTTGTTTTAGCACTGACACCGTAGTGGAGAGTCACAAAATGCCTTAAACACTGTTGCCAAAATTATGGAAAATCATACCGACTTCCCACTATCACATGTGTAAACTAAAAGTGCTTACCATTATACTGACACACAAATTTGTGAACACTGTTGCACCTCTCGTGTATCCATCTTAACTCCCCTGTTGGTAGGTATCCTCTGTAATGGAACATACATATTGTGCATATATATATGATGTTCCCGTACCTTTTTATCTAATGACTGTGTACAATATGTTTCTTACAACAACTTTATATCCAATCTCAAAGTCGCTTTCAGAGTTGAACAAACCGATATCTGAAATGTATTTTATATGATACTTACTGTGTAATACTGCAGTGTTTCAGTGGATCACTGGCTGGGGCTTGTCCAATGCCCGTGTTAGGTAACGCTGTCCCATCTGCATACACCCATGTGCCAGGGTTATCTACATCAGTAGCGCTGAACCACATAATATCTAGTAACATACAGTAACCGATGACCAGCAAATTATAGTAACATACAGTAACCGATGACCAGCAAATTATAGTAACATACAGTAACCGATGACCAGCAAATTATAGTAACATACAGTAACCGATGACCAGCAAATTATAGTAACATACAGTAACCGATGACCAGCAAATTATAGTAACATACAGTAACCGATGACCAGCAAATTATAGTAACATACAGTAACAGATGACCAGCAAATTATAGTAACATACAGTAACAGATGACCAGCAAAGTGTAGTAACAAACAGTAAAGGGTGACCAGCTAAATATAGTAACATACAGTGAAGGGTGATCAGCAAAGTATGGCAACATACAGTAACCGATGACCGACGAAGTATAGTAACATACAGTAACCGATGACCAGCGAAGTATAGTAACATACAGTAAAGGGTGACCAGCGAAATATAGTAACATACAGTAACCGATGACCGGCAATGTATAGTAACATACAATAACCGGTGACCAGCGAAATATAGTAACATACAGTGAAGGGTGATCAGCAAAGTATGGCAACATACAGTAACCGATGACCAGCAAATTATAGTAACATACAGTAACAGATGACCAGCAAAGTGTAGTAACAAACAGTAAAGGGTGACCTGCTAAATATAGTGACATACAGTAACCGATGACCGGCAATGTATAGTAACATACAATAACCGGTGACCAGCGAAATATAGTAACATACAGTAACCGATGACCGGCAATGTATAGTAACATACAATAACCGGTGACCAGAGAAATATAGTAATATACAGTGAAGGGTGATCAGCAAAGTATGGCAACATACAGTAACTGATGACCGGCGAAGTATAGTAACATACAGTAACCGATGACCGGCGAAGTATAGTAACATACAGTAAAGGGTGACCAGCTAAATATAGTAACAGACAGTAACCGATGACCGGCGAAGTATAGTAACATACAGTAAAGGGTGACCAGCTAAATATAGTAACATACAGTAACCGATGACCGGCAATGTATAGTAACATACAATAACCGGTGACCAGCGAAATATAGTAACATACAGTAACCGATGACCAGCAAATTATAGTAACATACAGTGATGGGTGATCAGCAAAGTATGGCAACATACAGTAACCAATGACCGGCGAAGTATAGTAACATACAGTAACCGATGACCGGCGAAGTATAGTAACATACAGTAACCAATGGTCAGAAAAGTGTGATTAAGTCAAGATAGGAATATTGCTTTCCACCATTATAGGTAGTTGCTTGTTTATATCTTACATTGTTGTGTCTTATTACGTTCAAGTCTATTATTACGTGATCTGTACGTATGAACTATTGTGTGATACACATGTTAAACAATAAGCTTCCAAAATAGCACAAATAGTTACATCTACGTCATTTTTCATTGTGTGAATGATTACTTATGCATACACTCCTACTGGATTGACATACATGCATATTGTAGATATAGTATAATAAATTACTGCTTACCGAAATGTCCCGTCTTTATTTGGTAATATAGGAAAGCACTTGTATCTGATTGGTTGCGGTGTTTCAAAATTGTTCCTCCCTGTGACTCGCAGTATTGCTGTGCGTCGGTCCAGGTTGTCAAGGTATCGTTAAATACGTACTTGAACTCTGCATTCAAAGGAGATCAACTTTTATAGTTTGAGTGGTGGAGACAGGGGGGGGGAGTTTGCGTCGTTTCATCGGTAAACTCAATATGAAAACTAACCTTGACATATAGGAACAGTAAGCCGAAAACAATCTGTCATAAACTCTCCTCCAGAAGACCACATCCATTGGTACTCTGTCATACCAGTAGGGTGTACATCAATGCACACGTGGTCATATTCCATACAGTCTAAACCGGTCAAGTCGTAGTCTATGAAATGCACATTGTTTATCTCTATCATCTGGTTACTGTCGACATTAACGGAGTAAGTTGGTAGGCGACCAGCCAGTTTGTGTAGTTGCATGTTCTCAGATGATACCAAGTACATATCCATCCCAAAGATGACGTCAGCGTTGTCTGTTATGCATGCAGAGTATAGCCCCGCCTCAATAGTGACATCAAATTGAAACGTTCGCTTGTTGTATGTATAAATGTCGACATCACCCGTGGTAGGCAATATACGTACTGAGTCGCACGTGATTTGATCTGAAAACAAATAAATTTCATTAATAACACTGACATATTGATGGCAGTATTATACCCCCCATCCAGTGGTAACTAAGGTAATTAGGAAGTTTGTAAGAAGTTGCCATAGTAATTATGATTATTAGGTATTGTTTGATCACAGTATTCACAAAATCTATGAGTCTTTCTTTTTTTCAATAACAACGTAACCTCAATAACGCAGCTCTATGCCTGAAAACACGAATGCAAGGCAAATATTTTTCTTGATCAAAAGACGACCTAAAATTGTGACAGGAACGGAGTTTTGAGGGAGGAGATGAAGAACGGAGTTTGTCGTTCAGTGTATTGGCATATCAGAACCCACGGCTACTTCATCCACGCACATCAGGATATTGAGGTTTTGAAGATCGTTGTCAATGCAAACACCCTTACACTTAACAGTAATAGTGTATGAAACGAGATCATCGATAAATATAGTAAAAATATAGGGCGAAGCGTACAACCTTGATGTGTCCTGATAGTGCATTTAAAGTGGGTCCACCAGATGTAATCACACAAGATCGCAATTTGCCACGTATACCTTATTTGATTACTTTCGATCACAGAAAATCGCGTTGAATCGAGGCAAAAGCATATGCGAAATCAATAAAAATGAAATTAAAACGTCTTTTTCTTTGTTAAATTTTTCGCCGCCATGGCTTGAAGTGCAAAAATGTTTCTGTTTTTGCTGTATCCTCACCGAAAACTACATTGTGCTTTACATAACCGGTACAAGACTCAACTATCAACATATACTATTTTTTATGAATGAAAACATTCGTATTATGAATCAAACAAAGAAGGAAAACAAATGACCATGTTTCTTTAGGTAATCTACCGGTGTCGGCGAATTCAGTCGGCATATTTTGTGATCCAACGTCCCAGTACCTCGCGGCTGACAGCCAGACACATTTCAATTTTTGTCTGTACCTATAAGCAAAATAAATAATCTGACAACAGAATAAACTTTTGTCTCACCCTACCAGAAACACATTTGTATACGCGCGTAAAATGTCTACGAAAATGAAAGACAAAAACATGTCCTCCGCCAATCAGATACCAGAAAAAACCATAATGAAAAAACCTAGTCAACAAAGTGATGTGGAAATTTGCGTTTATACTCACTTCGACAAGAGTCCAATGGACTACAGGCTGAGATTACATTGGCGCCAGTCCACCACAATAATTTATTTGGCTGCTTTGTTTTTATGTCTATACATAGATTAGTATAATCCCCACATCCGGTTGAATGAAGGTCATGTCCTGTGGTAACGCTGGGGATTAACACAACACCGCCGACAGTCATGTTTATTGCTGACGTTATACTGTTTTCTGGGACTTGTTTTGCAGTTTGACTAGTATTGTCCGCGTTGTTAAAATACACCCAGAACTCAAATATTTCATCCACTATACCCGCGACGTCACGATTAACATCACCAACATCCAATACCACATCCATTCGCAAGGTATATTGTGAACCCATGATGACTTCATTAGATAGAATTGACATCGAAACTGAGTCTAATGTCAATATGACTGCAGAATAATAAAAACATCGTGACGCACACTATTTGCTGTGAATGCATTTATATTGGGGATTGTTGATCAGCAGCTAAACGCTTAACATCTTTGAATATTTTAATACAATTTATACGGTAGATACTACGTGTCTTTATCGTAGAAAGTTTTAATGACTTTTTTTACATTACATAGAATTTTACATGTTTCAATTATAATTGCTCCACATTCATATTTATTTTTATCCTCGGCTATGGCAGCGTCAAAATTACCCTAGCTATTACGTCACTCAACCAACTTCATTTGCATAATGCATATTTTATTAAATATATACTAGTAGTTTTCACTCACCCGATTTATTACCTGCAAGATAAACAACAAATATTTTGTGAAGATATAAATTTTAGTATAAGAACTTATGACATAATAATCTTTGTACACTATCAGTTCATTCACGCGTGATTCCATAATATACGGAATAGCAGATAATATTAAATTTAATCACACCATTAACGAACCCTTTATCGTCTGTACTGGAATTTCGTCATTTCCTGTAATAGAATAGGGACCGAATTGTAAGACATCGTATCAAATCTGGCAATAAAGCACAGAGAAACTTGTTGTCATGAAATTTAGTTTGTTCGTACTTTGTATGTGGAACAAGCGGGACCCCAATGGAGTAGAATTTTCCTTAAGTACTTCGTATCATCCAATAGTTGCACATATACGTAGTATACATTTTAAAGATGAGTTACACACGTAACTATGGTGATGTAATTCGACGACTATCACGCATTTGCATACAATATGCAAATTAATAATACATCAATTGGCAAGGATGAATAACGTATTTTAGTTATTTCTATCAACATATTTTACATGTACTAAGACAGCGACCAAAAACACTCCTACCTGTCCACAGTAAGACACTAGCTGTTGTAGACGTTATTAACATAGTACATCCGACCAATAATAATAATGATAAAACGGCAATCAATACACCCTTGGGTATCGACGGCGGTGCTCCCTTGTCCTGTCAATAAACACGTCGTAAAGATCTGACAATTTGTTAAGTATTAAAGAACAAACTGCGAGCATCTTACCCGAACAATACTGTATACTGGATTGATATAATCTTCACAACAATAAGTGATTATTTTCGACACATTGGCGTAAAAAGAAATACAAAAAGTTTACAATAATTCCCAAAGGACTAATAGCAAGATTAAAAACTGCCTCAATACACCTACCGGATACAACAATCACGATGCAAAATTGCTATGACAAAACACGTTTTCTGGTGAAAGTAGGAATTATAACTAGGAACTAGAATCCATAAATATGTCAACTTACATTTTCACTCTTATCAGTGATGTAATGCGCTCGACCACGTTCCATATTCTGACACTATAGTGCACTGTTACGCCAGAAAAATGTAATTCGATATACATGTACGCGTTGAAATCATGAGTACTCAATAATGTGGCGACGATGGCATACTGATACTGTGTTGTTACAACTACGCTGCTTGTAAATTGACCAAATCACACCCACAGGGCTTAGAACGGCGGATAAATATTACGAGTGTGTAAGAGATGACGATATCTCCATGGCAACAACAATACAAACATAATACAAACATAACACATACATAATGTATTGTAGATGGCGTATATTAAACGTACATTTCAAAAACAATGTATATGCACACTCAATTACGCTATCACTTGATATCAGCAATATTTAAGATAATGTCCTATTGTACCAGGCATTACGAAATAGAACTTGACGCTTCTGATTTGTCGACTAGGTAGACACATACGTCATTTCGATCAGCGTTTTTTTACGCAAATTGTGTGATGTGGTAGATAGCACGTCTGCTAGCTGCGGGGCTATTATCGTAATCTTAAATCTCATGTTTTATGTTGTTAATACAATCTATCAGAACATGTAGATATTGTTATTAAATAACTCGAAGAATACACTTAGCATTTTTACCATCAGCCAGATTTCACACTTATTACAAAGACAAAGCAAAAGTGTCGCAATATTCAAGTCAAGTACTATGTCGTCCCAATAACCAACATTGCTCCAGGTATAGCTTCTACTACTATTTGTTGCATACACACAACGACGGAGGCAATGCTTAAAGTCAGTTTAATTCTATATAAGAGAAATAGAGAATTCGTCGAGACATATCGTCCAAAGTCAGATGCCCATCAACTCATTTGACTGTGGTAATTTTGACAAAGGCGATCGCCTACGTACTGTACCTTGCTAAGGTTTCAACATTTTGTGACACGTTTGGAACATATCGGTATTCCAGATATGAGTAACCCGGTAGATCCTAATGTGCGTTTAGTAGTTATCATTTGAGCAACTTTGAGTATATCTTTTCCCATGACATCTAAACAGTATATATATCAAAATTCAGATATTTTAACTCTCAC